GTGTGTCTGCTTGCATGCATATGTATATATATATATATATATATATATATATATATATATATATATATATATATATATATATATATATATGTGTGTGTGTGTGTGTGTGTGTGTGTGTGTGTAGTGTTAAAATAATGTCTTTTTATTTTTTCTTTCTTTTTAAGAAGTAAAAGTGGCCGAAAATCGTTTATAAAGTATACTTGAAAGGAAATTCAAGGAAAAAGAATCATGCCTGCTCAAGAAGGAATTCAAATGAATTTTTGATAGATAGATAGATAGATAGATAGATAGATAGATAGATAGATAGACTCTGTCATAAATAAATAGATTAAATAACGAACAGGGACACGTTCATAAATTTCGTATGTTTTGCTTTTAGCTTCTTCAGATTAATCTTTATTTCAACTGGCGAAATTTTCTTTCCTGGAAAGCTGTTTTGTGACTTATTCAATCACCCAAACATTTTTTTAAAAAAAGACCATCTTTTATACGAGGGTAGTTAAAAAAAATTATCCGCACTTTCATCATAGTTTCATCATTTAAGTTTGTCCCACTACTTTGTGCGCATGTCTGCTTATAGTGATCACGTGTGTAGTAAGGAAGAACAAAGAGCAGTGATCCGAATCTGCAGAGAACGTGTTACCTCATTATCGATGGTGATACGCCGGCTCGCCATTATAATCTGTCGAGCTTGATTAATCTTCTTGTCAGTGGTGAAGGCATCCTGCTCCTTCTTCGTAACTCAAGCTTGTCCGGCCACTTTTAAATTTCTCGATCTACTCGTGCACACTTCTAGGCAGCAATGCACTGTCGCCATATTGTTCTAAAAGCCTCTGACACATCTTCCGACCAGAGAAATTGAGGAGTTAGCATATTCTCTTCAAATTCAGATCACTGCTCTTTGTTCCTAGTTGATGCATACTCCTAGCATCATTCTCATACTCATACTCCATAATCATTTTGTCCTTGTTGTTGTTGTTGCCATTATCAAAAAATAAAATCAAGGCGAGATATCCGTAGACATAGCGGAACGAGAACAATACACGCCCCGTAGATTAAAGAAGCGTTCAGATCGATATTCACTGACGGTTACCCGGATATTCGTGTACCCATGTGCTCTTCCCTACTTCCTATTGTATTCTATTTCTCATATATGATACCAATGGTTGTTGTGAAATATAGATTACATTATTCGAGGACATATCCACTATTCAAACTTATAAACGTTTATTCACTACAATTTCAGGTAAAATAATGTTAATTAAAATCAAGTAAAACCACCGAAAGAAATAACATCTACAGAAAAATGACTCCATAACAATTTAACCTGTTACCTTTCTACATTATTAAAGACTGATTAGTGGGAATGTACAATAAACATTTGAAAGAGCTATAACATTTAGTGGACTTGAAATGTCTAACTTCCTGAAAAGCTGTTTTAATAAAAAAAAAGATTTTAGAAATTTCAGCCTACAGGAACACTAATGATTGCTGAATGACTTATTCTATGGAAACGGTTAGTTCCATTATTATCATTATCAAATAAAGATGTGCGTAAATTATTATATTTTTAGCTTGATCGTTCCCCACCCTCCAACCTTTTTTTTTAAATTTTAATTGTGATTTTTAGGGATTTTCTTCGTTTAAATTCCCAGAAGATTATGAACGAGATTCTCTTACTGAATGCGTTAAAGCTGATATTCTCTCTCTCTCTCTCTCTCTCTCTCTCTCTCTCTCTCTCTCTCTCTCTTCTTTTCTCCCTCTATCTCACACGCACACACGTGCGTAGTAGTAGTAGTAGTAGTAGTAGCAGTAGCAGTAGTAGTGGATGTACATTTGAACAATCAATGACTCATCTTAAACTTCAGTAAAGATGCCGAGCCTACGCGAAAAATAAGAAATAGTTGGACAGTTTGCGTGGTACCTGATGGTTTTATCAGGAAGTCAGAATATCAAATCAGTTCTACTAGTTACAGGCTGCGATGGTTAAATTATCGTCTAACTTACGCAACAAGGAAAATAATATGACATTTCATTTTAACATATATATTTACAAAAATTACACAAAAATATCTCCTGCATCTCTTCTGGACGGTCACCTTGTTTAAATTGGTGAATGCTGCCATAATCCTTGCCTTCAGTTCATCTTTGGTGTTACAAGGAGTTTTGTTGGTCTCTCGCTCAACTGCACCCCACACATAATAATCAAGGCGGGTGCAGTCTAGGAGTTAGAGAGCCAGTGTAAGGGAGGATGTGGTCGCAGAAATTGTTTGACAGCCAAGCCCGAGTTCTCATGCTTGTGTGATATGGTGCAAAGTCATGTTACCAATCATGGTGTCTTCCAACAGCCACACTCTTGACCTGGGGGAGTAATAATTCCTCAAGACACTTGATGGAGGACTCTGTGTTGAACCTGAGTCCCCGTGGGAAGATGAATGGAGATATAACGTCGCCATTATTAGTGACCACTTCGTAATCCCCATTAGAGTCATCCAGCTTTCCGAATTCTCTGCACTGTCCTCAGATCGACAACCAAACACTCTGAAATGTTCGTAGCGCGAATGTTAAGCAGTACATCATGCCATTTCCAGATTTCTGGCGGAGTGAATTGCGTCATGGTCATCTTTTTCCCACAGACGGTGCCCAACTGACCCTAATATACAGCCGACAAAATGAAAAACAAACAACGCGCCTGCGCAAAATTAAAAATATAAAATGGGAACAATTTAACCATCGCACTCTCTATATTCTATGTACTTATAATAAGTTATCAAGTGAGAAAGAATAAATATTCAAGTTTTTTTTCATTATTATTATTATTATTATCATTTGTATCTTGTTATAATTGAGCTTGTCCCTAATCTTCATTAGTTCGCACGGCCGCTACGTCCAGGCAACACCTCATAAATAATGGATTATTCCGTTTTGATTGAGAGCAAAAACGGAAAAAGACGCTATTGTTTTCAATGAGAAAATGAATGAATGAAAGAAAGAAAGGATGGAAGATAGACGTGAAAAGAGAGGATGAGATTAAGCTGATAATAACAGTTACTACACTTTGATCTTAGCCATAAGAGTGAAAAGCGGTTGTATTTTATTGCTGGCCCACGCTGACAGGATGAGACATAAGGTCTGTTTAATGTAGGGAACTCGTGCACATGCACCCGGTCTAGGTTTAAAAACTAGCCCAGCTCCCGTAACCTTCGGTTGTGCTGGCGTCGGTATTACTACCGATTCCCACTCTTTTAGTCCAATGAAGGAGGTACTACCTCGAATAGCTGCTTCCAGAGATCGGGCATATATCTATAATATTTTCAGTTGCGGTGTGTCAGCAGGGAGAGTCACAAATGAGTTGTGAAGACACAGATAAACCTGAGAGATGAAAGATGAAATTTAGTTGTCCGCCCGATGCGAGATACTAAACTTTAGTCCTTTACATGACGACCGCGATAAAAACGGCATTTTCCGACGCACGGAAACCGAGCGAGACAATTTCCAAATATTCAATTACCATAAGTTAAATAACATCGTTTGCTGAATTATTTTAAAATTATTATTACGATAAATGTTCGTACATCATTTACATTATTCGGACGATTGCCCTCATCTTTGTCGCCATATTTATCACAACGTTTCGGCCGTTGTACACTCCGGTCTTCTTCAGGTGGTTGGAATTTCGAACTGAACCCTTTATTTCGCTCACCGGGGTAGACTGTTCTAGTTCCACGTGCCATGTTTGATGGATGTCAGTTATCAGTTATCTCCTGCTAATTTCCCTCTGAAAGTTCTCCACAGCCTTAACCGGGTATTGAACTCACACTCTTTGGGTCCTGTCACTGAATCTAACCAACGCCTTTATCCACTGTGCCATGAGGGCATCTGGGCATGAATTTCTGGGTATTATAAGCCTAATATCTTCAGCAACCATTTTTACCAGTGCTCATATTGCAATTTTGCTCTTATCATTCATATTTTTACCAGAGCTCATATTGCAACTTTATCATTGCTTTTCTCTGGCACTCCTTATTACTGGTTCCCATATTGTATTTATTTCTATGCTTGGTCGGCTCAGGAGATTTTTGTGGCCTAGCATATGTGCTGATTCCTTAAGTTTACGAATTTTCCAATGGTGTTCATTGTCTATGATCTCAACATGATCCCACAGAGGGCGGTGATCTCCCTTCTCTCTCCATATGTGGTCAGCCACGCCTGATTTTTCTACTTCTCCTCGTGTTACAGTTTTCTGGTGTTCTTGAAGCCTTACCCTGAGGGGGCGGCTTGTCTCTCCTTTATATTCTTTTCTGCAGCTGCACGGGATAGCGTACACACAGTATTTAGTCATGTTCTCTTCTATGGGGGGGTCTTACTCGGGAGAGATATCTGCGAAATGTCGTCAAGCTTTTGAAGGTTGTCCTGATGTTATATGGACCGCAGATAAATGTTTGTGTATTTAGCTAATTATTATTATTATTATTAGTGTTTACATTGTTCAAGTTGTTTAGACATTTTCGGTCAATTCATTATCACTATATAAATTTTTGTCAAGTGCATCAATTTTTCTCTGTATTTATAAGGTTATTTTTCTTTCAGACCAGTGACAATTTGTTTAAGTGTGGTGGTTCAATCCTTTATTTACACCACATAAATTGCGATAGAATTGACAAGTTCCTTTTGGTACGTCAAAATTCCATGATATAAACTATCATTATAACTACAAACTCTCTTTGTTTGATTTCATGTATTATGCAATATGTATCTCGATGACGTCTTAGCTCGTTGGACAATGAACTGGCTTTTCTGATCCAATGTTATCAACTGAGGCCTTCTTGTTTTTTATATGACTTTTATATAATTAGAAACTATACTGTTGAACAATTTCAAAGTTTTTTTTCTATTCGAAAACAAGAAAATACGAATTTTTAAAAATGGTCGCAATATGGAAAAAAATGGTGTCGTTTTATACAAACGTCAGGAAGATATAACTAAATACGTGTTGGCCTATTGATTCTGGGCACTTTTCAAATTCTTCTTCTTTTTTTCTTTCAAAAAAGTAAAAAATAAGTTTGTTTGACACGAGACCAAATCATGAGGTACCGAATCACCTTTGAACTCACTACACTATAGCAATGGTCAAGTAGACTCGTTTGTTAAAAATCCTACATATCTAGACGTCTGTTTTTGCCAAAACTATAGATACGGATTATGCGATGATTATCGAACTCACTACACTCTAGTGAAGATATGCCAGACTGACTTGCTAATCATTGCTCCACACTGAGGTGTTCAATTATTTACTTAGTTTTGACACAAGGCCGTTTGCATGCAGCAGCCAATAATACGCTATACTAGTTTGCTAATCGTTACTTCAAAGCGAGTTCACCATGTTCTTAAAATGTTGTTTATGAGTCTTAATTCTTTAGTTTGTTTCGAATTAGACATTAAGAAATAACAAGGGGCGTCATTTAAAACGAGCTTAATTTGAGATGTAATTAACTTTATTAATTAACAGTAACTCTTATTATTATTAGTCACGCAGGTTTCTGGTGGTTATATAGCTAAATACAGGGTGCGCCCCCCGCAAAAAAAAACGGGAATTTTTGAAGTGCGTATTGCCAGACATGAACAAGTGGCAACACTACGAGACAGTGACCTTGGGCTTGTAAACATTTCGCCATTTAGAATTCAAGATGAAATTCACAGTATCCCAGCTGAGATGTTGCAGCAGTCAATGAAGAATCTCAACAGCAGATTTCAAGAATGCATTCGTACAGGAGGACGCCATCTACAGGACGTAATTTTTAAAAAAATGAAAATTTCATCATTGTTTCTTAAATGGCACGTTTTAAGGTTTCAATTACTATGAATAAAATATT